ATATACATACATATACATAATAAGATCAGAGATATAATTGCAAAAAGTATGAATCCAGTTTGGATTTACGCATGACCGTCTGTCATACACATGAACGTAAGCTATACAGGGAAAAGCAAAAGATGAATATGGACAAAATATGAACCGATTCATACAATGACTTACTGACTTTGTAAAGCAGACAGATAAATTGCACGCTGAATTTGATATCGAACCTATACAGGAGCGTACGGTCACATACCATATTCATCATCGTTATTCTCAAAGACCTGCTCGGCTTCGCCTTGGTACGACTGATCGCCTATCGGGGCACCACTAAACCAAGATAGAAATCCCATCTTTATATTGTATATGCGGTGTTTCACACAGTAAGCTTGTCAGATGTCCGAATTTACTATATATTGGTAGTTGTTTGACTGTCTGGCAGCACTCTGGTGTGTGAAGACCGCCAAGCTACCTCTACTCTCGAATAATACACTGCTGTGATAGGCACTGCGTATCTAAATATAAACAATGGAACAAGGGTTTTCCACAGAGGGCAGGGGCGCAAGGCACAGGCGTATGCCGCAGAGACTGCTATTTTTAAAAAGATAGTATGTATCCAGGAGGTACAGCGTACTGATACAGCATACAGCCTACAGTTAGGAGGCGCACACTTCAGTCTGGACTCTGGACTCTGGACTCTGCGACTCTGGCTCTCTGCACTGTCTGCAGTGGTCCTCCACTTTGCTAAAACCACATCTATTATTTTGGGATCAAATCACAAGCGGTGTTTGTTATTTTTATTGATAAAACTATTGCTGCGGAGTGGAGCGGCTTTTTGCAGCAGATTTGATATTGTGCGAAAAAGGGATTAATTTCCACCAATATTCCACTTGTTTAAATTCGCTGTACGCTTTTTAAACACACAGTGACTTCTAACCCACTATTATATACACGCTTCACGCACACGTGTTTTCATATTCCCAAAATAACACTGATATAGTTTGATACCATGATTTGCTATAGTAGTCTGAATTACTCTGTATGGCTCGCTCAAACCGCACGTATTCAACGGGAAAGTGAGTACCAAAGTAGTCTATGTTTTGCCAGAGCTGATATATAAGATATGGATATACGAATCACTTGTATGGCAACGATGCACATATTTGTTCAGTTATGTGTGCGACTCCGAAAAACAATTATCATTAATATAGCTCAGATTGCAATGTAAATTGCATTTGGTATTTATTGGTCGACACTACGCAACCATCATGTATATCGCGACATTGTTCAACGCAACATAGTAGCCTTTTGTAACTCTTCGGTTATTGTTGTTGTTTGGTACCGTATCATTTACAAAGAAACCACTCACATGGATCTCCAGTTCGTTTGACAATCCTTAGCTGTTTAAAATCAATAGTACACGAATTTACTAGATGTACAACTTGTGTCGACAGTTGTTACATCTCAACCCTGTTGTACCACATACTGTGTAAACTCGGTTCGGTGTTAAGAGGACATGCCCTTCTGATATTGCTGTTGATATGCATGGCCTACACTGCAGCACTGGATTAGTTGCACAACGATAAAATAAAGAACTCTCAGGTGTATGGCCGTTCTGAATATATCTGATATATGTATGTATCAAGAGTATATACGAATGCATTGGATAGAAAAATGGGTTTCCTATATGTGCGCGTCTGTTGCTGCGATCGACATTGAAGCCACTGCGAAAATAGCACTTATTGATGCGAAGGTAGCACTATTTCACCCTTCTAGAGTCTGCGTGGCCACTATTAGCTGGATATCGAATCACATCTTAAAAACTTACGCTTATGTTGCCTTCCTGTTAGCGGATTTATGGTTGAGTTGTCTCTCATTTCAACATAACAGTGCATACATCCATGTACAGATTGAATTATTCATCACACTCGCACAGCTGCTTCAAAACTTTGTGTAGTATAGCCCAATCAGGCAAATTACCTTGATCGCGATTCATGAGTTCACAACCTCCCCGAGATTTACTACGCATCTAACCAAATCTACCATGCCCGCAACAGTAACCGACAGGTCCACTATACATGTGTGTATTCGTGAAGTCTTTTTGATGTATTGTTAATGTAGTACGAAAGTTTTAGCTTTCTACATGAGTAGACAAAAGCATCTGCGTATATGTACAAGCATGTGTTTGTATATAAGCATACCAGCGTTCTTTAATACCCTGGGTTCTAACAACTTAGAATTCGTTTTGACCACCGATCACAGATACAACTGCAATACGAAGCAGCGTGTACAGTACATACAGGCTTTTCTCACGTAGACGAAAATTACTGCATTGTGCATATACACTCAGTTGATTATATATGTATGTTAGCGTCAACGGGCACATGCGCATAAGGTCGAAAACTGGTTGGACTTTCATATATTTTGTATTGCGAGCTATTCAATGCCAGAGTTGACTGACACTAACGCGTATACAGTTCAAAAGCAATATCACAAAAGACATCTAAGTAGCTTATCTTACTACTTGTCGATACAGTTTAATAGTACAGCAACAAATATTCCACAAGGTCAGACCTATTTAGAAATAGTACGAATAACGGTGGCCAATTTCAACAGGTATAGTAGATATCTCGGGTCATAGAGATCACGATAAAAGTATCCATGGGTCTAAGCAACGAGCCCAGTCGAAGCGAGGTCATGCATCACTGCTGCATCTAATCTTATGCAGATGATTGAAGAACGTCAGCGAAATTTACCCAGTATCGGTTTTTGTTGTTATTGCTACCACTCCTCGAATTGGCATATAAATTGATCAGTTTTTAAAAATTTATTTAATGGTCGAAGGAAGCAAATGCCGATCCTTCGGCTAGATTTACAATATTTGGCTGTACTGAGAATGTGCGAGACAAACTTCCATTTCCATTATGTCTGCTCAGATGATCTGGATGGTGTTTCGAATTCGTTGTCGGACGATGTGTGTTGCCGACCGTCTCAGTTTCAGGGCTGACAGGTGGTTGTTCCCCTTCGAGTATTGCATATGCTTTTACAATATACGAGGGGTTCTAGTTGAAGACGAGTTGCTATGTTACCAACTGTTCGAGGGGTGGGTGTGATTGAAGGATTGTTTCAAAGTATCCCATTTTGATCTGCGATAATGAGAGTGGACGGCTTCCTGTCATACCACGGTGTCTGGTAAGAAAGGTGTCACCTGTGCTCCTGCTCGCTTGTGAGGTTGTCTCCCTCATTCGGTGTATTGACGATACTGTTTATAGGCCAACAAACTGTGTTTGTAATGATGACCTTGCGCTGAGCGCCGTAACTTACAATAGCTGTAGGCTATATAAGCTTATTCTAAAGAGAGATGTGACTAGTGTTGTTCACACATAATCATTGTCGCGCGCGACTGCCCTCTACAGGAGAGTTGCGTTGCGAGGTATAAATTTTTCACGCAAACCGGTGGGTTCGATGTAGGTAGTAAATTGGCAGTAACAATTTACGCAGAAGGAGAGGGTCCATACGTGACTGCGGGGGCCAGACACCTCAGCGCTGGCTGTATTTTGATGGGCAAAAGGGGTTTCAGACTCTTACTCTTGCGCTTCCTCTTCTTGATGACGTTAGTCTTCGTGAGACCGATAGGTCTGGAACGCTTGTGCAGCTTCTCGTAGAGTCCACACGCATTACAAACAACCATGTTTTGATCTGTAGAAAAGAATGGAGCAAATAATTAGAAAACATTGGGTGACTTCGTAGTAAGAGTTTGTAAACTTGGGCAACAAAAGCTCGAAGCTTTATACTTCAATAAAGACGACACAGAGTCAAGGATAACTTACCATTTCGTCTCCAAAGAGTGGTGTTCTCCGTGCCGCAATTAGAGCAAGACATAGGCCCCATGGGGTGTGTCGCGTTAGTGCGCACAAAGCTGCCCATCGCACGCTTAAGAGGACGATGTGTCCCATGTGCCTTATGATATAGTCCACATGCGTTACAGAGGCAATTGCCTTGCAGATCCCTCCTCCACAAGGGAGACTTAAGCGTCTTGCAGTTCACACAGGGCTCGTGTGAGATGGCACTTCGTGCGTCCATCTGATTATGCATTAGGGTGGACCCAGAACCGTCGCCAGACATGGGCATCTGGTTGTGTTGTTGCGGATATTGACCCATGCCTCCATTCTCTGACTTGATGGCATATCCGTGGTATACCGAGTTTGGCTCCTCTACGAATTGATACATTGATTCATTCTGTGTGTATATGAGGTGGTACAGCTATGTTTGGTATGGTTCTCCATGCCACATTCTCGGACGAAAGAAAAAAATCACAATATGAATAGAGAGAATACTGACTTACCCCTTGGTCGTTTGTATGGTCGCCCTTCAGATAACCCATGGATGAATGCGCAGTGTATGTGCTCTGCAAATAATAGAATGAGAGAGGGCAATCATTAATACGAAAGTATACAACATACTAAAGAACCGCCGAAAATGAGTAAACAGCACCAAACAGGCTGCGAGGCATCATGTGATCGAGGATTGAGATTAGACTACAAGGTTAAAAGTACCTGAATATCTCCATGCCTGGACATACCTTCTGCGCTCTAGCTCCGACTCCAAAGCTCTGGGCCAAGTCTGAGTTCGCGGCCGCAATCAGACCTTGCCACAAGGGGTTTGAGTCCGCACGGATACGGTCCAAGCAGATATCACATGTGGATACGTCAGAATTTCTGAAAGCCTGGACGTCTCTCACACAATGACAGTTTGGACATACGCGCGTGTAACGCACAAAGCTGACAGTCGAGTTCTGGTCTTCGTCGGAGCTGAGGTTACTATCCTGACTTAAATGACTGCTGGTGCGCCTGACTACTTGCGAGTCATGGTACTCTTGTGAATTGTTATACTCATCGCTGTGACGCTGGTGTGAGTGTAGGTTGCTTAGACTGTTCCTAGGAGTGTCCTCGTTTGAGTCATCGTGCCTTTGTAACATAAGCAACGACCGCGCAGCGTGGTCGGGTGAAACGACGCATCTGTTATTCACGTCAAATTCCACCACGGACTGTTCAGACATTGTGCTGTGTACCATATTAGCGATAGTGTTGTGTATATACGACGGATGAAGCTATATCTACAAATTGTTAGCGTTTGAAGTATACAACAGTGTATTCTAAAGCGTGAGCACGGGTATAGATGGAAAGATAGCGAGATAAGCTTTTTAGTATTACATCCGATAACGTACGTATTTAGCTAATCGCCCTCTTGCAGTCTATTCTGGGTCAGGCCCAGCAGGTGGTTTGAGGCACTTTTTCTTCGCGGAGCAACACGATTCGTCGAAATCCTAATCAAAATTACATCATGATTTACGGGATAAGAAACCTTCCGTATTCCGTAGGATTCCGACTGTGATACAGATCTGTCTCATGATCAGTATTTCCGCATGGTTGGGCGGGATTTATGTGAGTTTTGGTAACCAGCTGTCGTAACCACCTACTTGTAGCATAAAATTAATGTATTATTGTATTTGGCTTTTTGTTTGCTATCCGTGTCATCAACAACAATGCCAAACCTGAATTTGGGGTATCTTTCGGAAACGTTTGCAATTCAAAAATATTTTGATATTCAAATGGCTGCTATTGACTCAGGCAAGAGGATATTTCTAGATACCGAGAAACCTATTTTTTTCTTCATATTTTGCAATAACTATAGTATTTTCGAAATTTAGGCGAATCGTCAAAGTGTTACCTGACAAATATATCGAATTTTATTTTGAGACTGCACTTATCATTAAAAATCAAGAGTAGGTATGTACCTACTGATTGATTCAGAATAATTATTGGATCGTTGTAACAAACCTATTTTCATTGGTGATAGGCTACTGATTAAAAATTAAATCCAAATATATAAGTAAAATTCATTTGTCTATCTACAATTTCGACGTACAACGCATTGGTCCACGAGTCTATAGTCTATGCCCAATGGGCTGATGTAAATCTTCGGAGTACTCTTTACAGGTAAAAACAAGCATTTAAAAAAAACTGATGTCTGTAAACATTGTTCAATGAACGATAAAAGCAACTTTAAAAAAAATCGGGTACATGTCTGTTTAGGTCTTAAGTCTCTTGGTTTAGAGTTTAGACTCTCGGTTTTACTGCCGTCTGGACTCTGGACTCTGGAACATGGACTCTCTCACAGTCTACATACTAGAGATGTGGCGGCCTTGATTTTTGAGGTTGCTTCGGGTTGTTGCCTGGCAACGTGCGGTTAACACAAGCGTATTTGACATTCATGATTGTTATCAAACACGCGTCCTACTTGGCGTCATAGAGAAATGCGCACGCGAACACTTTGTGGGATGTCGTACGATATACAATACTGTGCATAGACTTTAGTGAGCGGATTGTTCATGTTCCTCTGTCGGCCTTTCAAAACAAGCCCTTCAACTATTACGTCTGACACTCCTGATGGTCATGCTGTGTGAACTAGAATTTCACATAGTAAATATCAACAATGTGTATTTCGTGCCCGAGCGATCCTTTGCAAGACATGTTATCTAGGTCCGAGTTTATGCGAGTTCAACTAGCGCACTTGATCAGATACGGACTTTCTACCGATATCACAGTTCTCAAGCAGATATAGCTGCACTGTTTCAAACCTTAATGATCAGATAGTTTAAGCTAATCATGGCTCAGCAGGTGCGAGGTTATCCACTATTGAAACGCTTTTTTTTTTTGAAACTGCCAACTGTGCTCCTATATCTTCGAGTTCGAACTCTTCGTCAGGAAGTTAAAACATAATTTCAGCCTAAATACGCAGCCTCAATTATATAATAATTTATATAAAGCCAGTTCTGAATTGAGCAGGTACTCGAGGACACAGACAAATATGAAGCTATGAATGTCTTTTGCTTGTGCTTGAGGCTACCGCTTCAACAGATGGCCATGTTCCTTTGCACATGGTACGTGTGTTAAAAGTCCTGCGTACTTTGTTTTCTTTGTCATTTTTTAAGTCCATGTGCTATATATATATATATATATATATATATATATAGTAATTAGTTTATATAAGTG